AGAAAAAGATTAAAAGCCCGGGAACCGATCAGGTTGAACACTAATATTCTACATGTGGTTGCCATTTGTGTAACAGCGAACATATCCTGAAATTAAAAAAGCCCCGTTCAAAGCTGAAAAGAGAATGACTTCTGTGGTATACTGCTGGGATAGCTTTTTTCTTGCCCTGTTCCCCACCACCCTTCAGTACAGCTCACATGGGTACTAGAATAGTTAATTGGGGAATACAGATCGCAGCGCATTCAATGCACTGACAGTATCACACCCATACTGCAGGTCACCAGATCCGGATGGTACAGAAAAACCATACAGAAGTTTCCATGGTCAAGATTCAAATACGGGTACGTTAGCTGGAGCCCGCTCTAGAGGAGATCAAAGCAACACCAGTGGGTGAGTTGGCGAGTGCAATACAGGTGTTTTGACCTGAAGCCATTTGTGATTAGTTAACACGTGACAGAACCGCTGTTAGAAATAGCAGGGAATTACTTACACCGTGTACTTCTGCTGCAGGGAGTTGAAGTAGGTGCCGCTGGGGAAGGGGAACACAGCTCAGAATGCCTAAGCCTGGCTCCAGCCTGCACGAATTCAGGCTCCAATCTAAGTACCCAAAGTCAAACACCCAAAAATGTATGGAGTGAACAACTTTGCCATCTGTTTCTAACAGCGGCTCCATTATATGTTAATTAACACAAACATGAAGTATAAAATACAGAAAGAGGAAAGCTTCTCCCTGTGGTTGTGTTTACGCTAAGGAGTACTTTTGGTTAAGTTACAATTTAAGATGATGCTGGCTAAAACTCAGTTGAACACCACGGTGGCAGGTAGGTGTTTAATTGAATTTAGTCCTTTTAAACCGAACCCTTAAAATGCTACAGCTTAAAAATGTCTATCCTGCAAAATCATTCTGTATTTTAAAATCGCACTAGGACTCTCTTTTTGCTGGCCCAATATTATTAAGTGTTTTGAATATCAAAATTAGCCCTTCAGTTACACTGTTTTAACTGGAATTTAGGACTTTTCTACACCCAAGGTATGTTGTTCCAGCAAACCGTTAATGGGCAGAGAAAACTTCCAACTGTCAAAGAGGTCTAAGCGTGAAATAGGATGTCAAGATAGATAGTCAAACAGACTGCCAGCACTGCTCTAGCTGTATTGGGGTTTTTGAAAGTCCACATATGTCTGCCAGGAGCAGGGTTTTTTACAAGACAAAACAGACAAAGTTATAACAGCAAAATATTTTTGTGTTGATTAGACATCCATAAACAACTCTACTTGTCATGCACAAAACCAGGAAAAAACAATTTGTTCCATGGCTCATGTTGGTCCACAATGCCAAAGAAGTGGAAAAAAAATCCCTGTAACAATACGAATGCTTATTTTCCTCTAATTTTTATACAGAGATTCGCATTTAGAGATTAGTGACAAACTGGAGAAACAAACATTCATTTTTTATATTGAGCTTCTGAGTTTTAAACGTGAAACAGCATGGCTTGTTCAGTGCATAAGGCAATTTTTATGGACAAAAGTAATAGCAACAATTTGATCTAATCAGCAATCTGCTGGGTTGCGTAATATCATTATAAATTGCCACTTTACAAAAGTATGTCAATCAAACCAGGACTAGACCTACATTTTGAATTTCTACTCATTTAATCAATATTCCTACTTGGAATAACCACTGTTATGTCTAGTCCTTCTAGGTAAGGAAAGACATTTTCTGGCTGGAAGAAAATTTATGACTTTTTTTGTAGTCAGAAGAAATCAATGACCAAATCTAGGATAGGAAAATTCTGCCAGTGAGACCATTTAATTTTCCAGTTTTCCTCCTGTGAATTAAAATTAACATAAACAGTTACATTTTTCAGGTCAAGACTGTAGATGCAGAACTAGAGCTTTTTTTGGAGCCTGGAAGTGAGTAATTCCAACTGTCTCTATTATGTTTTTAAAATATCCCTTTTAATTTTCTTTTAAGTTTTAATTTAAAAAATGTGCTCCATCCATTTCTGGAAAATAGGTTAGTGGTGTAATCAGTTTCAGAACCTAAAACGCAAAGCATATGCTCTCTGTTCAAAAGGTTGCTCTCATTTCAAACTAATGTCAAAACTTTGCTATTTAGAAAGTAAATTTCAAGAAGGTTTGGTTTGTATTCATATATACATAGCCAGCTCTCCAAGGGACAGTTAAACAAAAAAGTCAATGAGAACACTCACAAAAAAAAGTTAATTTAGGATGTAAGAATTATTTCTTAGTTTCAAATATACAAACAGTTTCCAGTATCTATTAATTTTCAAATGCTTTCTAAACTTCAGTGTTAGATTAACAAAATATTCTAGGAAATACCTTGATCTCTTTTTCAAAAGCGTTGCATGACCCTTGTCACCATAATGATAAAACTGTATTTTTCCTTGTATATTTCAGTTTGCTTTTAAGATTTCCTAAATATGTTTCCTAAATATAAAAAAGTTTCTATAAATTATATTATATGCTCCCACAGCACTCTCCTGGAGAAGCTGGCGGTTCATGGCCTAGATGGGTGTACTCTTTGCTGGGTTAAAAACTGGCTGGATGGCCGAGCCCAGAGAGTTGTGGTCAACGAAGTTAAATCCAGCTGGCAGACGGTTACAAGCAGTGTCCCTCAGGGCTCAGTTCTTGGGCTGGTCTTGTTAGAGTTGTGGTCAACGAAGTTAAATCCAGTTGGCAGACGGTTACAAGCGGTGTCCCTCAGGGCTCAGTTCTTGGGCCGGTCTTGTTTAATATCTTTATCAATGACCTGGACGAGGGGATTGAGTGTGCCCTCAGTAAGTTTGCAGATGACACCAAACTGGGTGGGAGTGTTGATCTGCTCGAGGGGAGGAGGGCTCTGCAGAGGGACCTGGACAGGCTGGATCGATGGGCTGAGGCCAACTGTATGAGGTTC